TTCGGTTAATGTATGTAGCGAGATGGCAATCTTAGCAAAGCCCTATACGAAACGCCGGTAATAATTTGCTAAACATAGAAACTGCGGTGCTCTGTCTAGTTGGTTGGTGTAGGCCATGTCCCCACTTGTTGTACACGGTCGTCGGTGACGGCTATTCCATTCGACGAGACTGTATGTCCCAGGAAGGTGACCGAGTGTTGTAGAAAAAGGGCACTTTTTCGAGTTCAGGGTTAACCCTGCATCCTGTAGGCGGTCTAACACTAGTTTTAGGTTGGCGTTGTGCTCTTGAATATCTCCACCAAAAACGAGAATATCGTCAAGATAGATAATCCAATGCTTTGAGAATAGGCCGACCAGAGCTGTTTTCTTGAGGCGTTTGAAGGTAGCTGCCGCGTTGCAGAGTCCAAATAGCGTAGTTTGAAAATCATAAAGCCCGTTTGGCAAAATAAAAGCCGTTTTTTCCCAGTCTGCTCCTGCAACCTCCACTTCCCAATATCCCGACTTCAGATCTAAGGTAGAGAATCACTGAGATCCATGTAGTGAGTTAAGTGAGTCATTTATGTGGGTAAGGGGGAAGGCATCCTTCTTGGTTACAGCATTAAACTTCCTGTAGTCGATGCACAACCGCAGGCTGCCATCATTCTTCTTTACCAGCGCTATAGGAGAGGCCCATGGTGACTTGGATGGCTTTATGACCTCATCTCGGAGCATCTCTTCAACCAAACGGTTTACTTCTTCCAGCAAAGGAGGTGGAATACGTCTGGGTGGTTGCCAAATTAGCCTAGCTTCATTAGTATCAATCTTATGCTTGACGATATTTGTTCGTCCTAATCTTGCACCTTGCGAAGAGATGTTCGCGTACTTAAGTAGGAGCTGACGGAGTTCTTTTCTCTCGTAGTTGGAAATGTGAGTCAGCTGCGTACAAAGGTCATCTAGATTGTTAATGGAAATGGCTGCAGCTTTAAAAAGGACGTTGCAGATGTCATCTGCGTCGTCTTTCGGTGGAGAGGTATCTGTGTTGACCCCGGTGGTTTCGTGAGTGGGAAAGGTTCCTTCCGAAAAACTTAGGACGGCTTTGGTGTAGCGAAGGAAATCGGCACCAAGTACCACGTTCCAGGCCAGTTCTGGACACACGACGAATTTTACTGTCCAGGTTTCCTTCCCTATGCAGACTTTTAATGATGTCTCTCCTTCGACTAGCATCTCCCGTCTCTCTGCTGAACGCAATTTTGCAGAAGGGGGGAGGATCTTAACCCTGTTACAAAGGGTAGGGAAGGCTTGGAGGTTCACAATTGACTTAGCTGCGCCAGAGTCGAGAAGAAAACTACAGGAGCGTCCTTCCAGTTTACCAGGAACCCTCATATAGGAATAGGAGCCATTTGGGAGTAGACAGGAAAAGGAAAAGGAGGGCTCACCTGGTCTAGGGGTATGGCGCGGGGAGCCACGATACGAGGATGCTGCATTTGACCAGTTTTGTGGTTTTCGGAAAATCAGGGGCCCCAGGAGTTCCTGCCGCTTCTTGGTTGCGAGCTTGACTAATTGGTCGAGCGGATTAGTCTTTGCTTCGCAGAGCTTCTCAGCCAAGATGGAGGGTCGGATTCCGTGTTTAAACTGAACTGTAACCCAATTGGCGATCTTGTTTGGGGGGCAACCGCGGAACGCACGTTCCGCCAGGAGTTGGAGGTTCCTGGCGTACTCTTCTTCGGCCTCATAAGCTTTTTGAAAACGCTGAAAGAAGTCCCTAGCCAGGGTTTGCTCCTCAAAATCGATGGCAAGTTGAGCCAGTGTATCACAGCATTGGTCAACGTCTGTGTCGTGGGTGATGCCGGCTCCGACTGCGGCCACGAATAAATCATGCGGTAGGGCGCGAAGGATAAGAGGTATTCTTTGACAACGGGGATAGAGAGGATGGTTGAATTTGGCAGTTAAGAGCCACTCTTCAAAATTCATATCTTCCTCAAAAGAAGGTAGGTCTGCGAGCGCTGCTATCAGTGTAAAACGAGACTCATCCGTTTCCGCTTCCCTGTCTCTAGCGTTCTTGGACGAGCCCGGTTGATTCATCCCGATTTTCCCATCAGTAAAATATGTACTACCGTCCCTTTGATTTTTATCATCCAGCAGTAGAAATTAAGGTATACAACCTTTAAGATTAGGTCTGCTTTTTACTGGTACCACCCTTGCACTCCGACACTTTCCTGAAGGCGAATATGCTTATTCGACATGCAGGAAGTATTAGTGTTGCTGGCATGGCCAGGAGCTCAGCCCACTTGGCGGGGTAAAATGGCCAAGATGCAAAGTTGCCCTTTACCAAAACTGACCGTTGAACGAAAAACCAACTTAAAACACCTGAATTTCCTTTTTCTATCAATTGATTCCTAAGGTCCTTTTAAGCACGGACTGTGACGACATCATATTTTGGGATCTGTTTGGATAAATACCGATAAGCACTGCTTACATTCAGCATTTTTACCTTCTTGGCTATCTAATATTTCTAGATTGCAAGTAGTATGGAGTTTTAACTAATGACTACCTAACCCGGGTGATTCTATCAACCTATATTTAAACGAATCTCCAGCGCCCGCGTTATGCGATTCTGTGTATTGGCAGCCTGAGTCGTATCTCCCTTTTCTGTCTGTTACATCCTGTCCTCACTCTAAAATATTTTTTCAATGTCCCGTGTATCTTTCCAAATATATTGGTTCCGGGCTAAGGATGTAGTCATTCATCATATTCGAATGGCCTTAACTCTTGCTTTGTATATTCTAAGCCATTGTTCCTACAGGTTTCGGAAGCAGACCAGATCGGTAGGTTGAATTTCAATAACTAAGTATTTAGGTATTGCAATACCAAAGTGTACGGTATCATGTTATTCCTCTTTCTCCTATTTCAAAACTGCAGTTATGTGAGTTATTCATATGGTTTATGGTTTGCATCTTGAAGGGAGCGAATGTTTACATCCGCCTTTTTGTGCATCAGGTCTTCAAAGACGCAAAATAATGGTGATTGATCTGGACGAGACGTTGATCCATTCTGTTCTCGATGGAATGTCTCGTCAGACAACGGGTTCAGGCCCTCCACCTGATTTTGTGCTCAAGATGGACGTTGACCATCATCCTGTTCGCTTCTCAGTGCATAAGCGCCCACACGTTGACTACTTTCTAAATATTGTAAATCGCTTACCACCACATCTTATTTGCACTTTTAGACTGCCCTCTAAATGACTTCCTAAATGCGCCTGATTTTTAGCAGCCTAAAAAGTTTCGTTGTTGACCCACAGAACTTTGATCGTAGTCTTATGTCCTATTAAAGTCGCTACTGAAACATCCCTTATCCTAATCATGGCCCAGTTTATTGCCTCGAAATAAATCCAGGGCTCCTTGAGTTATCGTTGATGGTTACCATGCAATTCCTTTTTATGCAATTGATAGCACATCCGAGATTTGTATTCGGGGTGGTTGGTACGCTGTTACTCTACTTGATTCACCATTTCTTTATTGTTTTCCTGATTTTCCTTGCATTATTACGTGCAGTATCTTGTGTGAAATGTTGTTACTTAGGTTATTTCTTATTATTTATGTAAGGTTTTTTCAGTCCTATTTGTCTTATACAGATCAGCCAATGGTACGAGTTGGTTATCTTCACTGCTAGCCTGGAGATCTACGGTGCAGGAATCGCAGACCATCTTGACAACGGCCGCCACATTTTTCAACGTCGTTTCTACAGGCAGCACTGTCTCTACGACAGTGGTAGCTACTGCAAGGACTTATCTCGTGTTTCCTCAGACCTGTCTTCTATCTTTATTCTGGACAACTCCCCTGGCGCCTACCGCTCATTTCCTGGTAATCCTCAACAATTCATCCTCACATAAACATTATTATCTAGGGTAGGTTTAAGTATCACCCCCTCCCATTTGCAGATAACGCAATTCCTATTCAGTCGTGGTTCTCAGATCCCCAGGACACCGCCCTCCTCTGTTTATTGCCTGTGTTGGATGCCCTGCGATTCGTCTCCGATGTGCGCTCAATTTTGAGCCGCAATCTGCACCGCGATTTGCAGGCGCAGGCGCTAATTGGACGGGGTCGACCACCCTCCCTCATGATGTGACTCATGCCTCACCCCATTTGTCTTGGAGATGCATTTTTGATTTGTCTGTCTCTTAGCTAACACTACTACTACCACCCCTTTTTCTAATGCCAACGAACAATGCTGTTCCTCTCTGCTTCCTGCGTACGCCCTTTCTTCCCTGCCCACCTTATGTACCGAATTACTAGAAAGTTTTTACTCAGTGATCGGCGGTTACTTTCTTTCTTACTTCCTATTGTATCTTTTTTTTTTGCTTAATGGCCTAGTCCTTTATTTCGTGTTTAGGATAACTAAATCAAAGCGAGAATTGTGATCCATGCAAAAAAACTTCTTCACTTAGAACAAACTTCGTTTTATGACTAGAGGATCGTGAAGCATCGTTTATGCATTGATAAGAAACACCGGTGTTGATGGAGAGCTTGGATCAATGTTGAAGTTGTTCCCAAAATAGACTCTTCCAGTGTGCAGCCTCTACGCTACGCCATGAATTGTGGCAGTTTATGGCTACCGACCTTTTTGAGCCCCTTTTAACCAATCAAAAAGGTGGATATGAAAAGGACATGTATCTGCATTCGGTTCTTTTAACGAATAATTCCGCTGTAGTTAACGCCGGCGTCTCGGAGAATGTATTCAGCCTAAAAACAGTGAAGCGATTATTCTGACAGGTCTTGTGCCTACCCTACTGATTGTCTATCAGTAGGGTTTTGATACATCGAAATATTGAAGACCTGGGACAAAACGACAGTTGAGGGAGCTCTTTTAGTCAAAGAACTGAGTACATAAAGTATAGTTCAAATTGTAGCATAATCAGTGAACTAAGTTGACTCCTACTTGATAAAGGGAAAGCATCGGGTGCAATTCACTCCATCTTTGATACCCTTTTTCATAATGGCACAAAGTGTGCTCCACTGTTAAAGTTTTTAACGCACCAAAAAGTCTATAGGGTCAGCAGGTCTTCGTTGACCATAGATGACAAGGCACTCAGAAACCTTGGGTAGAACATATTTGAGGAGGTAATTTCTGCGAGGCATCGACTTAACCATTTGACGTTCTTCGTTCTCCTTCCTCAGAAGCATTAACCAATCGTGCTGCAGAAAAGAAAAATGTGAAGGATATTTACGAAATTGCCACCAACACCTCCATTGCACCTGCCCGCCAACTTTTTCTCTTTGTTGCATTCAGTACTATATCAGTCAATTCGACTGACCAGTTGTCATATTTGATTGAATACTGTGATAGTCCTATAAATAACCCTCTATGACCTGTAAAAAGGTTAAAGCTAGTCTATGGCTTCGGCGGTCCTTCCTAGTTTGAGGGATTAGGGGCAGCTGAAAATGACAAATATTGGATGGTTAGTCTTAACGCATCTACGTGGGTCCGTTTAATGAAACCATGCTCAGGTGGTCTGTCGCTTGAGACGTGGCCATCAAATTCTTCACCTTCATTGTTGACTTCATTATGATTGTATGGATGAGTACGTGGGCCTACGTAATTTCCAACTCTTCAGCCTTTACTATGGAATTATGCAAATATTCTCGTGTCAGTTAAAGGATTATTGTCTCTTCCCTTTTACTGTCACTGGACTCACACTTGGACAATGTCTTTATCTGTCAGTCACAGTCCCGTCAACTCTGTTAAGCAGTGGGCACTGAAATATTCCGACTTTGTCTAAAAAATTGCCACAGTCCCGTTCACAATATTGTCACTTTTATTCATCCAATGGGGGTTTCTTATTCACCGAAAAGGGAAAAACGTTTCCCTATCGCACAGCAGATCACTGCGCGTCATCGAAGTCCTCCTGACACCTAATGCATGAAATAGCCAAATTTCCGAGGCTAGAACTCACCCAAATCTTGCGTTCATTCTCACTCAACACTTCCGCCGCCTCTTTTCGAAGATTTGCATTAACTCCATTCAAGTCTTCAGCTTCCCGCTGGAGGGCTTCCACAAATTTCTCATCCCCATCTCGCTCATCCAAAAGGCCTCGTGTTCGACGCACGAACTCTCCAGTCGATGACTTGGATATCCGCTTTAAGAGTTGCTTAAAGGTGTGTTTTTGTGGACCCCCTGGATAGAGGTGCTGGGAGGAGAAGGTGTTTATGTAAGACAAATCTAATTTTAAGCATCTTATTTTTGGTATGGACGCTCACCTGGCTTTTGTCTCGGTCCATATTCACCGTGAAGGGGTAGAGTTCACGTAGATCAAAGTAGGTGAGAACATTTATTTCTAGGGGATTCAATTTGGCTTTTGCTAGAGGCTTTCTTGGCCAGTGTTGTGCATCCAATGGCTCTGACTCCTTCTCTGACACCACTGAAAGAGGATATTAACGTCATAAAGACTGGTAAGGGTGGCAACTATGTCGCCTAGGATTTTGAATCACTGCATTCTTACTCTTTTACAAGTCAAATGGATCGTGCTGAAATCTCGAAGTGGATTTTCCCATCATTGTGATTCCATGGGATAAACAAAAGATTATAAATAGGCAAACCATTCTTTGTAAAAACAGGAGTACGTAAACTCGAAGTTTTAACTGCAAACTTACAGTATTTGTATGGTTCGAAAGTTTTTCCAACAATTTCTCTAGCTGCTTTCGGTGCCATGACAGACCTATGATATTCCAAACGTCGTCTTAATCTCCTCTCTGGTGTCTCCAACGGTTTTACCCACTTTATCCTTAAATCCACATCCTTCTTTTGTCCTTCACTCTTCTCGCCTCCTATTCCGATCTGAAATAGACAAGGCAGTGATCCTACGTGCTCATAAATCTACTCGAGGTGTGGAATTTGGTTAATCAACCCAACTTACTCCAATTCCCAACTTTTCGGTCTCTTGCGCTAACCGTCTACGATTCACCTCCTCCTCGATATTCAACGTTGTGCCATCAGGGTCTGCATAGTCGTCAATATCGTTTAAAGCGATTCCCTCCTCTTCAAGCATCGTCCTGTAGCGATGAGTTACAAGAGCGTTGCTACCTTCCAAATAAATTACGTGGTGTGGAGACACCAATGGATCGTATGTGGGATGGCGTGGATCTTTTGCCGTATCGTCAGGATCTAAAGAGAAAATACGTGTTTTAAATCACAGACTTGTTAAGATTTTGCAAGACTGTAGGAAACCTTAGACAAAAATTCATAAAGGTCGGTCAAATTTTCAGTCTATAATCATATTTAAGGTCAAAGAAATGTTATTTAACTTAAGCTAAAAACCATTTGACTTCGAAACGTAAGGTGAAGAAATTGAATTAATGGATGCATAAAAGGAAGGACAAGGAAAGGAAGGATGGATAGGGGATGAACGGATGAATACAAGAGGGATGGAAACGCGATATATATAAGATGAATGGATGTGAGATAGATGGATAAGAAAATGGGTACGGATTGGAGGGATGGATGAATGGATGGGTGCATGGATACAGGATGGATGCAGGATGGAAGGATTGATGGATGGATACAGGATGGGTGGGCATAGGATGGAAGAATTGATGGATGGATACAGGATAAATGGATACACCACCTCCTCTTTTTGAGGGAAAACCCCCTAAAAATGCACCTCTGTTTTTGGCATTTTCCTGTTAGGTTCTAGGAAGGTAAAATGTAGCTCTTCAATTCAGTAGAGTACCCGAATGCCTTGAAGTTATTTAATCATATTAACAAAATTCGGCATCTTACTAGTAAACAACGCATCGGCTTGATTGAAGGTGTTAGGATAGCTGTCCAAAACGAATCCTTGATTGCGACACGGCTTTGAGAGCAGCTTCCTTCGAAGGTATCTACAAGTATGGCATGTTTTGTCACCAAGATGGCTATCCTAGCCTCTGATGCGCTTTCGGTAATGCGTGGCTTTGCCGATTTAAACAGATAGACTACTCCGTTCATGGCTTCATTGAGAAGGTCATCCACTATCCCGGCATTAGTGAGAGAAATTAAGGCGGTTAAGGGCAAGATTTCCAAGCCCGTGAAGTTGTATAAGATGCACTTATCAAACTTTTTATAAAACGGTTTTTGGCAATTATGTTAAAAGGCTAAATTTTGGCTACCTACTTAGTAACAATGTGGTCGTTAGCATGAAAGTCATCAATCATTCCATCCACAAATTCTCTCAGCTCCTCGCCAGCTTTATTCGCCATCTCCTCCAACTCCCGCTCGTTGGCCCACTTTAGAGGGGGATAGAAGGGATACCGACGCTGGACCTCCTCTGGTAGGGAGTCGATCAGGGACGCTTCTGAGGGGACTGAGGTTTCTACGAGAAAAATTTTCAAAGTGTGGTTAATCCGATCTGTGCTAGAACTGTGCATGCTTTTGTCCGCATATCTGTTGCATAAGGTTTTTTCTCATCCTAATACTTGAATTCAGTAATTTTGGCTTGGAACTCTACTGTTAATCCCTCTACAGTTCTGGTATGAAATTGTGACAGCGTGACCTTGACCTACCCTCTTGTGGTGCCTCCGATGCCTCTGTGATAGGTGTATTTGGGGGCAAGGAGTGTGAGAGGGTGGGTTCCACAACGTCTGTAGGGAGGACTTCATCGCTGGGTGGAAGAGTTGCTGTGCTCAGTTGATCGTCGGGGACGTCCTGTGAAGTCGCAGTGGCAAGTAGAGGTGGCAGTGGTGGTTGTCGAGGCTTCTCCTCCCTTGCCTTTAAAAGTTTTGCCTTCTTTTCCAATTCTTGTGCATGTCTGAGCTGTTCCAATGCCTTTATTGGAGTCCTCTGTGTTATTTGAAAACAATATTTGTGTTATTCTTCTTCTTGAAGTACTGTTACTAGTTCTTCGAAACCCTTCCATGCATAGTAAACATCCAATTACATATTTGAATATCTGGCTACGTCTTCAGGGATGTCTCTAGCACTGGTATTGGCAGTGATAGCTAAACTCATTCCAAAAAGAACAATAACTTTAGTTTTTGTGGCTGAAGGCTTCGCAAAAGTGGGACAACTGCGGAGCAGGGTCAAATCCTCGCAGATTTAGAAGAATTACTACAATTTGACTAATATTACCACCTCTATGGAGGAGACAAAGGTCATAAAACCAGACTCTTAAAGAATTATTTGCAAGGTCAATTTTATCCTCCTGTGTTTCAAGAAGGGGAATGCATCTCAGAGATAGTTGGATTAGAGGTAGGTTACAAGAAAAATTTTGTCTGAAATTAGACGACAAATGTTACTTACTAAACGAATGTATGCCTCGTAGAGAACCGGGGTGACGTGGATGTAGTGCAGACCGTAGTGTCTGGCCAAAGCAATCGCATGTGTCGTCTTGCCAACAAACGGTGGTCCCAGAATGCAAATTCGAAGGGGCTAGAGGGTGGTAAAAAAAATCTGTTTCTCGTGTCACTGGCAGATAATAGACCATGACATTCTAACCCCCTATCTGCTGTCCTAGAAGAAGTGATTGTTTGAAGCGTTAGTGAAACCAAATCGAATTTTGACGACTATCTCAGCCCTGGAATCCGTCTCATCCACAGTAACGGAGTGAGACGAGTATTTGAAAAAACAACGTCGTCTCTAAAGAGAATTGTTTCTATTAGCCTCGCAAAACAATGGAGTCTAGGCGAATAACCCTTCGTTTCCATCTCGTTATTATCTTCCAGCTGTCTATTCTCTTTTTTGGATATCTGCATACCTTGAAGTCCTTCGCCTTGACATATTCTTGAGCTAGCTTTTCAATGTTGTCAATTATTCCACCCTCACATCTCCAAGGAATTGTTAATTCCTCATCCAAAGTCGGAGTGTTGATTATCATGTCCATCATCAGTTGATCGATGTGCACCCTCTTTTAAAAAAAAAATCTTTCAAAGCTGAGTGGTTTTTTTGACGAAAACAAACTTTATATGCTAAGAGTTGGAAGGTAATTTCGGCATTTTTTTTTTAAAAAAACATACGGGAATTTGAGTGATACGAATGAGTTCATTGTCACTCAAGTGCCTGATTTCGCCTGTACCAAATACTTTGGAAATAGCCTAAAAATAAAGAAAAGGACTGATTTTTGTAGATGGCAAAAATAACGAAAGCAAATATATTGGGTTTCCTTTACATTAGGCTTTTGAGGATTGGAAGAAAAAAACTTCATTTTAAAATATGTCTTCGCTGCCTGTCCCAGCATGAAGTTGCATCAGAAAAATATTCACATGTCACTAGATTTATTTTATTGTCATGGCAGCACTTTCAATTGATCGTTCGTTCACTCATTTATCCATTAATGCATTCATCATTATACCAAATCGACCACACTAAATCGACCAATTCATACCGGGTCCATCCATCCATTCATACTGCATCCATCCTGTATCCATCCACCCATTCTTCCATCCATCCATCTACCTATCCTGCGTCTATTCATCCATCCATCCATTGATCTGTCCATCCTGTACCCGTCCATCCATCCATCAAGTATCCATCCATCTTGAATCCATTCATCCGTCCACACTGTGTCTATCCGTACATGCACCCATACATCAAACCATCCACTCCGTATCCATCCTCCTATCTACTTCCCCGGGATCAAACTATCAGTCTGTCCATCTTAACCACATTCGTTTGTTTCAAGCGAATCCAATCATTTTCCCTCATTGCTAATGGTTACTTACGGTGATGATTTCGCCCAATGTAGACTCACTATGGTCCCTTGCAACAATGTAACGCGATTCGGGTGGTTCCTCGAATATTGCTTGAACGATTCTAAAGAGGTCAAATTGTTAAATAATACTTGGCATTCAATGCTGATTTCAAAACAACATGAGGGTTCCTTCCATCTTACCGACAAAAATAAGTGTTCGTCGAAGAAACCGATTTGAGAAATTAAACAATGAAAAATAAATTTCACGTGGATATTCTCTATAAATAGGAAAGTTGCTGATTTTTAGAACATGCTGGTAGTTGGATAGTTGCATAAGCCTTCTTAAAATCATCAGGCAGGTTTACGTTTAAAAGATTATTTTTACGGCTTTTTGATGCTTTGAATGCTGAATTGCTAATGACTGAAACCCACTTTGACAGATCTCTTATATGTATGGTCGGAATGATGTTTTCACCATTGCCACAGACCTCTAGTACACGGCTGTTCATCCAGGCTTTCTGAAACAAAGTGAGGCAAAGTATATTAGGCTCAATAGCAATATACCTATTTTAAAACTCATTTTCGTCCATTTTACTACGTTTGCTTGACTTCAGTTTAATAAACTATGAATACATCCCAAAAAGTGTCAAAATAAACTCTTTCTGGGGACAAGAGGAAATGTAATTTCGGCATAAACTGTTTTCGGATTGACACATTCGATACCAGTGTCACGCATATGTAACATAAGTACAATGGAGTTAGTTTTAAGCGAAAAGAAAACGAAACCAACTTCAGTAATACTAAAGTAATACAGAATCTTGGCTAGGATGCTAGATTCTTCCGTGAGAGCCCAGTAAAATACAGGCTGCTTGACACTTCGCGTCAATGGACGCAGACGTTTTATAAACCTTTAGAATTAGCCAATAGCCAAAGAGTATTTTCGCACCTCACGTGTGATTGGTTAACAATGGCGATTAAGTTGCCCAATAAAAACTAAGTTCTGATTTTTACGTACGTACGAGAAAAAAGGGCTCGAATATGTTCTCAGCACCACCGTAGGGAATTCCACAACCGACAACGTAAATAGTGAGTCGTTTTCGGTGCTAAAAAGCAGGGGTTGGCTTGTATATTGAAAAAATGCGTTCCAGATATTCCTAGTGGATTCCATCCTGATAAAGTTCATAGATCAGCACACAGATTAAATAAACCTAGGGACTTAAAAGCTGCCGGAGAGCACGCTCTGACAAAACCAAATTGGTGGGTAAAATAGGTTTCTAGGGTACTAAGTTGCTCAAAGTGATGCGATTGGAAAAGCGTTGACCCGTACGGGGAACACCATAAAGGCTAAATGTCACTTTTATTTAGTTTAATAACCAATGTATGCAAGAAGTTTCCTGTTATTGCTTAGATAAAATCAAAATCTATGCAGACACCATGATTTGAAAGTTTTGAGGGCTCATTTTAGTCTTATTCACAAATTTGCCACCAAATTTTAAATTCCAATCCTTAAAATGTAACTAAACTGCCTACCTTCCTTCCAAGATTAAAAATAGCCCGCTCTGCTGCAAACTGACGTTTGTAAAGTGGATGCGGTATCCGCTTTGCATGGTCTTCTTCGTCATACGTCGGGTGGTTACCCTCCTACAAAGATTCAAAGGGCAAAAAGGGCATGTTTATCAAACGTCTTACATTTGTAAGAGAAAAGAGAACGCATCTAACAAATAAATAAGTAAACTATCGGTTTAAGCAGTATTATTTGATTTGAAATGTTTGTTTTAAGTTCCAAATGGAATTAATCCAACAACCACAAATTTTGCTGCCATATATTTTAGCTTCTTGTGACAAAGAAAATCAGTGGTAGTAAAAGTAGACATAATTTAAACAGGGAAATTACCAAGGCACCCGTTTTTGAGCGAAGCCAACTCAGTAGGTGGGTAACCACAATAAAAATCTTCTTTTTTCTAATGCGTTGGTAGTCATTGGCCAGCGATTTGGCCACCCAAAGAGCCTCTTCGGCTTGACTCACATCGCTTGTAATGTCGTAGATCACGCAGTCGCACTCAAAGAGGTGCTCGTAGAAATCTCGCCGATTTTCATACTTTCACAGATAAAAAAAGGTAGACGTAAATACTCACATGTACTTATGTAATAATGATTGCAAAGAGGGACCACAGGTTCTGCTTTGGATTTGCTCATCTAATCACATTCTCTATTCAGGTATTTGTTCCCACAATCAATGAAGATTGTGGATTGAAGATTGTAGCTTTAATCAGTTGAGATAGTAAGCAAATATTCTACTTTATAAATACTTGTACAGAGGTCGTGAAATTTGGCTAGGTATATCCTACGGCTTTTTTTGGTGTGCCTCTCGGTTACGACTACGTACTGCGTGTGTTAATGGTAAATGATTTTTTTCATAATGGTATACCCTTAAGCTGTTTTAAGAGGCTTCGAAGCACAGAAATATACCATAAAGCAGACAAGTTTGGAACAATTTGATATAGTAAGGATGCTACTGGATAGATGGATGGTGGAAATATGTGAATCCACAAATATACGTTAGGTAGTACTAAGACTAACTAGTAAGCAAGTAGGCACAATTGAAATGCTACCTGATGAACCTCTGTTGAAAAATTGAATGCAGTGGTAATTCCTTAACATAAATATCGAAGCTACATAATACAAATTATACCAATTCCTTTTTTGAAACATCTCTCAACCGGAGTCGGCTACAAATAAATTATGCTTGGGGAAGAGGAGGTCAATAAATCTTATTTGATAGTAATACTTAAGCGTTCAAACTGAAGTCTCGCAAATAAGCAAGCATCAGGCGGGTTAAGCCAACTTTTGAAGAATAGCATAATCAAAAGTAAAATTGAGTTACACAGTTAATTAATTACGTTTAAAACACTCTCGACAAAAGTTGGTATATGAGCGTTGGGATGAGAAACAGTTCCCACAATGCGATAGCCGGTAAGTTGAGGTTTTTTAGGTGGATCCGGTTCCATAATTCTTTCCTCCTCTTCCTCTTCCACTTCATCTTCCTCAACCAGGGCTTGCCCAGGTTTACAAGAGGCCAGATGCTAGGTGGTTTTAATCCCGATATCCTGCACTTACCTGCGCTAAAGTGTTGCTCACATAAGAGTCAAGATTGTTAACGAAAACTCGAGGTAAAATGTCTAATCCTTCCTCCCCAATATCTTCCTCCATATTCCTTTGTGAGAAGGGGTTTAATGAGGAAACAAAACACCACAAATTAGCAAAAGCTTAAAAAGGTAGAGAAAGGTAGGCTATTCGGACTAATGTATCACAAACAAGTGTATCAGTGTTAAACCACGATTTTGATTTGGTTGACGTACCAAATTACAGCCAAAAAGAGAGAACTAATGAAAGGTATTTGCGTCTGTCTAAATTTGTTCGCATTAATACAGATTTACTAAACTAAAATTAAAAAGTTATGAAACATGGATAATGGTTTTGGTAAATATGTGCGCCCACGCAAAGGAATTGGGTCTAAAACTGCTGCAGATATTTCTACGCTTGTTCAAGTGACCACCAAATTGATAGTAATTTTAGGCTTGCTTTTCTTATACTTTTTCATTCGATTCGATGGAAGTAAGAACGAAAAGCTTTTTAATATACTCACCTAGTGACGAAGGGCGACCTTTACTTTAAAATATCACCAATTATACTGTCGCTATAACAACATGAATGCACATCGAAAAGGAAAGCGGCATGCAATATGCAGTTACTAATACCAACTTATGCTACAATCTGCAATATTTCTAGTGCATGGGTTAGCTGCAAATGTAGCCTTCAGCACCACATAAGAAGTCCTGCAGTGTAGTAAAATATGGGTTGGTTCTATTTGGACTTCTTTTAACTTTAATAAGTTTAATCAAAGAATATGCCCAAAAATAAAAAGCCTGGTTCATTTCTGGAACAAAACTCTTATCGAAACCTTCTCACTTCTTCATATTCTTTATGTGCTTAATGCATATAGACTGGGAGTAGGCTGTAGGACAAGGATCGTAGATATCCCCTTCCCTGTTCCTCGTACTCTTGGAACGACCAGGTCGGTTTAATTTTGACCTATTTGTAAGGGGAAATGAAACGGGAAAACTAGTACAGAGTTAAGGGGGGTGAGGATACGCAACCGCTCTCAGGCTTGGAAGACGTCAACTCCGTACTCAGGTCCAAATTGTATCCCCGTCTCGTCTCTGAAAGGAACATCAAAGCAATATAGGTATTACATAGCCCCTCCTCCTTTTGGAACCGTCCCCGGTGCTACCACTTACGAA